AATGATTAATGATAATTAAATCTACCAGCGGTAGTGATGGTTCTGAACGACAGGTTATTTTCTGCGATAAAGCCACAGACTCTTAGTTTTAGGTCACAGACACAGTCCACCAGAGCAAGCCTAGTCTCAGTTGTCGCTGAATCTGATGCACCAGGTAAAGAAGTGTGGGAAAGTGCACGGACAGCTGCCAAGTGCGCAGTTTTGAGCTGGTGGTGAATCCAAAGCTGTTTTCTCATTACTCCCATATAAAAAAATAATAATAGCGAAGTACGAACAAGCACCGGACACCTTCATCTTTTTGCACCAGGAAGCAACAGAATCCCATCGTCTCCACCTCATCCAGCCATGCCCACCTCCATTTATTTTTCACTCCGTTATCAACAGCAACTTATACAGCTCCTTCTTCCATAAACAACGATCCATGATTGTGATTGTGCGTGAATGCTAGGCTAGCTTTGATGAATGAATATAAGACCTGCTAACACACACCTTTCTTCAGCGAGTTTCTTCCGTTCGCTCTCGTTGATTGGCTCTTTTTATCACGCAGTTTTGCATGGGGATCGCCACCAAGATATTATCAAAAGCTCACCAAGACATGCTTGTCCCCATTCCCAGTCACAGCAAAGTACATATTGTACATTCCGTTAAATAAAAAAGCATTGCGTTTGGTAAACGTTAATTGATTGACTGCGGAACCTTCCGCAGTCAACCATTGGTTTTGTATTTCTTTATTCCGTCATTTTTTTTGACACGTTTCACAGCTTTCACATTTTCAACAATTTCCACAAGTTATACATCAAAACGTTCCACATGTTTGGGAGATTATTGCTATTACTTTTGGGACTTCAGCGATTTCCGGTTTTTCCGCAATCGGACAAAAATCTGCATTGAGAATTCTGCAATGCATTTTAATAGGCCCATGCATTTTAATAGGACTTCAGCTCTTTCAGACATTTCTACAGTTTCAATGATTTCAACAGTTTCAAGGATTCAACAGTTTCAGGATTTCAGCAGTTTCAAGATTTCAAGAGTTTCAAGGACTTCAACAGTTTCAAGGACTTCAACAGTTTCAAGGACTTCAGCAGTTTCAAGGACTTCAGTGTAATCATGCAACCTAATAGGGATTTTTCCATGTAAACCAGTATAATGCAACTTAATAGGGATTTTTCCATGTAAACCAGTATAATGCAACTTAATAGGGGTTTTTACATGTAAACCAGTATAATGCAACTTAATAGGGTTTTTTTCATGTAAACCAGTATAATGCAACTTAATAGGGATTTTTCCATGTAAACCAGTATAATGCAACTTAATAGGGATTTTTCCATGTAAACCAGTATAATGCAACTTAATAGGGATTTTTCCATGTAAACCAGTATAATGCAACTTAATAGGGTTTTTTTCATGTAAACCAGTATAATGCCACTTAATAGGGTTTTTTTCATGTAAACCAGTATAATGCAACTTAATGGGGATTTTTCCATGTAAACCAGTATAATGCAACTTAATAGGGGTTTTTACATGTAAACCAGTATAATGCAACTTAATAGGTTTTTTCCATGTAAACCAGTATAATGGAACTTAATAGGGATTTTTCCATGTAAACCAGTATAATGCAACTTAATAGGGATTTTTCCATGTAAACCAGTATAATGCAACTTAATAGGGTTTTTTTCATGTAAACCAGTATAATGCAACTTTAATAGGGTTTTTTTTCATGTAAACCAGTATAATGCAACTTAATGGGGATTTTTCCATGTAAACCAGTATAATGCAACTTAATAGGTTTTTTTTTTTACATATAAACCAGTATAATGGAACTTAATAGGGTTTTTTTTCCATGTAAACCAGTATAATGCAACTTAATAGGGATTTTTCCATGTAAACCAGTATAATGCAACTTAATAGGGTTTTTTATGTAAACCAGTATAATGCAACTTAATGGGGATTTTTCCATGTAAACCAGTATATTATGCAACTTAATAGGGATTTTTCCATGTAAACCAGTATAATGCAACTAATAGGGATTTCATGTCCACCAGTATAATGCAACTTAATAGGGGTTTTTACATGTGTATAATGGAACTTAATAGGGATTTTTACATGTAAAACCAGTATAATGGAACTTAATAGGGGTTTTTACATGTAAACCAGTATAATGCAACTTAATAGGGATTTTTACATGTAAACCACTATAATGTAAACTAATAGTTTTTACATGTAAACCATATAATGCAACCTAATAGGGATTTTTCCATGTAAACCAGTATAATGCAACCTAATAGGGATTTTTCCATGTAAACCAGTATAATGCAACCTAATAGGTTGCATTATACCACCAGACCAAGACCCAAACGAAGACTCAGACCACCACCAGATAATGACCACAGACCAGGTTTCCTTAGTTACAGGAACCAAATTGTTTCAGCGGTGAGGGGATTTTTCAGTTTCAAGGACACTTTCAATACATTCAGTAGTTTCAAGGATTTCAACTGTTTAAGAATTTAACCAGTTTCAAGGATATCAGGAGGTTCAAGGATTTCAGGAGTTTCCACACTTTCAACAGTTTCCAGGTTTAAAAAAGTTTCAAGGATTTCAGGAGTTTCAATGTTTCAACAGTTTCAAGGATTTCAGGAGTTTAAAGGTTTCAACAATTTCAAGGACTTCAGGAGTTTCAAATATCTATCAAGTATTTTAACAGTTTCAAGGCCTTTTAAAGGATTTCAAGGATTTTTTTTAGCAGATTTCCACATTAGATCTGTTCCGCAGTCAATCGCAATGGCTTCAGCCATTGCAAGTTTCTAGTTATGTCCTACCTTTCCTCTGATAACGCGCCCAGTTTACCGGTCCGCGGGCTGCTGGCTGTTATTGCTCCGTTCGGGATTACATTTTCCTTGTCCTCTTCTCCTTTTCAAAAGCTCCGTGCACTTTTCAGAAACTTTCACCTCCGTGTTACCATCGCTAACTTGGCTGCGTCTTCATTTGCCGTGAGGTCAGCTACGTCCCACTGCCTTGATTCATTTGCGGAGCGCTCATGTAGCTAGCCACGGCACGTTCAAGGCCCACTCGTGATTATATTACTTTTTATTTCTATATACATATAAATACAATTATATTCAAATTATTAATATATATCTAGATATATACAACAGATTCACACGTATTACTATATATTTTGTTATAATTAACCATTTCATTGTGTGTATTATATTATTATTATATATTTTGTTTTTTTTTCAGACCAATTTCATTTGACGGAAATCCGTCACTTAGACGGAACTCTTTAATCCCTGCGCTATACACATGCAATCCTTTCATACAATTGGTAGAACACACTTGAACCTTTTTCAAATGACAGCAATCATTATTTATTTATATATATATTAAAAAAAAAAATAAAAAAAAGTGATGTTTTTTTTTTTTTTTTTCTCACGCCGGATTTCCGGCACGGTGCCGGAAAACTTTAAGCCCTGTGTGCGTCTCTCTCTGTGTGTCTCTCTCTCTCTCTGTGCGTCTCTCTCTCTCTGTGCGTCTCTCTCTCTCTGTGCGTCTCTCTCTGTGCGTCTCTCTCTGTGCGTCTCTCTCTGTGCGTCTCTCTCTGTGCGTCTCTCTCTGTGCGTCTCTCTCTGTGTGTGTGTCTCTGTGTGTGTGTCTCTGTGAGTCTCTCTCTGTGCGTCTCTCTCTGTGCGTCTCTCTCTGTGCGTCTCTCTCTGTGCGTCTCTCTCTGTGCGTCTCTCTCTGTGCGTCTCTCTCTGTGCGTCTCTCTCTCTGTGTGTCTGTGTCTCTCTCTGTGTGTGTGTCTCTGTGTGTGTCTGTGTCTCTCTCTGTGTGTGTGTCTCTCTCTGTGTGTGTCTGTGTCTCTCTCTGTGTGTGTCTGCGTCTCTCTGTCTCTGTGTGTGTCTGTCTCTGTGTGTGTCTGTGTCTCTCTGTCTCTGTGTGTACTCAGTGAATGAATACAACTCCACACTGTGCCCTGTCAGGATGAGTGAAAGGAAAAGCATGATACACAACTGTATGTTTAGGACGTTACATCTGCAGCAGTCGCACCCTTTGGATTCAACAAAACTCTCACAAAGCCTCGTTTACATCATCTGAGTCCTGCTTGGGTCCTGCTTGAGTCCTGCTTGAGTCCTGCTTGAGTCCTGCTTGAGTCCTGCTTGAGTCCTGCTTGAGACCTGCTTGAGACCTGCTTGAGACTTGCTTGAGACCAGCTCTAGTCCAGCTCTAGTCCAGCTTTCAGAACAAAACCAGCCTAACTGTCCTAAAAATGCTCTTTAGAAATATACAGAGGAGGTATGCTAGTTACGTAAGCTTGCTAACAGGAAGTACATTTTTGCTCCCAATGCTAGTCCCGGCTTGCAATAAAACAGCCCAAAAACAAATACAAAATACAAGCCATGCAGAAACAGGCATGTGTTATATCTGTCATTATCTTATCGCCCTAAATCACAACAGTATCTTCTCAGAGACTTAAACCATTAAATCACAGATCAGAAAATCAACAGTTAAGACACAAAAAATACACAAATGTATTGGTCCACAGAGAGACCAATGTCCATTTGTTAATGACCAAAAGATTTAGAAACTTTAAGACCTCAATGAGAACAAATTTAAATTATTACCATTTTGCTTAACGCTTAATCTGACTCAAGAGAAATGCAGCCAGAAAACACATTACTATTCCAAAAGCTTCATAACTTAGACTTTTCTGGCTATTCCCGGGAGACAATAATGACAGACTTTGCAGAAAAGACTAAAACATTCAAATGTTGCATTAAAAAAAAAGTGGTTCAAACCTACCCAAGTAAAGGAGACGGTCCTAGTCCAAAGTGTGCGTCCTCTGCTCTGTGTGTAACCTGTGTGTGAGTGTGTGTGGAGGGTTTGAACAGCAGAGGTATCGGGGTGGAGCACAGATCTGGACCGACAGGATCCTGCTCCTGAGCCGACCTGGAGGCGAGTCCACATGTTTCACATTCTCTGCACTCTCTCACCTTTACTACATGCACACGTCTGCATCAGTCTGCATCACGCACACGTCCGCCTCACGCACACGTCCGCCTCACGCACACGTCCGCCTCACGCACACGTCCGCCTCACGCACACGTCCGCCTCACGCACACGTCCGCCTCACGCACACGTCCGCCTCACGCACACGTCCGCCTCACGCACACGTCCGCCTCACGCACACGTCCGCCGCACGCACACGTCCGCATCAGTCTGCATCACGCACACGTCTGCATCAGTCTGCATCACGCACACGTCTGCATCAGTCTGCATCACGCACACGTCCGCCTCACGCACACGTCCGCCTCACGCACACGTCTGCATCAGTCTGCATCACGCACACGTCCGCCTCACGCACACGTCTGCATCGGTCTGCATCACGCACACGTCCGCATCACGCACACGTCCGCCTCACGCACACGTCCGCCTCACGCACACGTCCGCCTCACGCACACGTCCGCCTCACGCACACGTCCGCCTCACGCACACGTCCGCCTCACGCACACGTCCGCCTCACGCACACGTCCGCCTCAGTCTGCATCACGCACACGTCTGCATCAGTCTGCATCGCGCACACGTCTGCCTCACGCACACGTCTGCATCAGTCTGCCTCACGCACACGTCTGCATCAGTCTGCCTCACGCACACGTCTGCCTCAGTCTGCCTCACGCACACGTCTGCATCAGTCTGCATCACGCACACGTCTGCATCAGTCTGCATCACGTCTGCATCAGTCTGCCTCACGCACACGTCTGCATCAGTCTGCCTCACGCACACGTCTGCATCAGTCTGCATCACGTCTGCATCAGTCTGCCTCACGCACATGTCTGCCTCAGTCTGCATCACGCACACGTCTGCCTCAGTCTGCATCACGCACACGTCTGCCTCAGTCTGCATCACGCACACGTCTGCCTCAGTCTGCATCACGCACACGTCTGCCTCAGTCTGCATCACGCACACGTCTGCCTCAGTCTGCATCACGCACACGTCTGCCTCAGTCTGCATCACGCACACGTCTGCCTCACGCACACGTCTGCATCAGTCTGCATTGCGCACACGTCTGCATTGCGCACACGTCCGCACCGCGCACACGTCCGCACCGCGCACACGTCCGCCTCACGCACACGCACACGTCTGCCTCACGCACACGTCTGCATCAGTCTGCCTCGCGCACACGTCCGCCTCGCGCACACGTCCGCCTCGCGCACACGTCCGCCTCGCGCACACGTCCGCCTCGCGCACACGTCCGCCTCGCGCACACGTCCGCCTCGCGCACACGTCCGCCTCGCGCACACGTCCGCCTCGCGCACACGTCCACACCTCACGCACACGTCCACACCTCACGCACACGTCCACACCTCACGCACACGTCCACACCTCACGCACACGTCCACACCTCACGCACACGTCCACACCTCACGCACACGTCCACACCTCACGCACACGTCCACACCTCACGCACACGTCCACACCTCACGCACACGTCCACACCTCACGCACACGTCCACACCTCACGCACACGTCCACACCTCACGCACACGTCCACACCTCACGCACACGTCCACACCTCACGCACACGTCCACACCTCACGCACACGTCCACACCTCACGCACACGTCCACACCTCACGCACACGTCCACACCTCACGCACACGTCCACACCTCACGCACACGTCCGCCTCACGCACACGTCCGCCTCACGCACACGTCCGCCTCACGCACACGTCCGCCTCACGCACACGTCCGCCTCACGCACGTCCGCCTCACGCACACGTCCGCCTCACGCACACGTCCGCCTCACGCACACGTCCGCCTCACGCACACGTCCGCCTCACGCACACGTCCGCCTCACGCACACGTCCGCCTCACGCACACGTCCGCCTCACGCACACGTCCGCCTCACGCACACGTCCGCCTCACGCACACGTCCGCCTCACGCACACGTCCGCCTCACGCACACGTCCGCCTCACGCACACGTCCGCCTCACGCACACGTCCGCCTCACGCACACGTCCGCTCACGCACACGTCCGCCACGCACACGTCGCTCACGCACACGTCCGCCTCACGCACACGTCCGCCTCACGCACACGTCCGCCTCACGCACACGTCCGCCTCACGCACACGTCCGCCTCACGCACACGTCCGCATCAGTCTGCATCACGCACACGTCTGCATCAGTCTGCATCACGCACACGTCCGCCTCACGCACACGTCTGCATCGGTCTGCATCACGCACACGTCCACCTCACGCACACGTCCGCCTCACGCACACGTCCGCCTCACGCACACGTCCGCCTCACGCACACGTCCGCCTCACGCACACGTCCGCCTCACGCACACGTCCACCTCACGCACACGTCCACGTCTCACGCACACGTCCACGTCTCACGCACACGTCCACGTCTCACGCACACGTCCACCTCACGCACACGTCCACCTCACGCACACGTCCACTCACGCACGCCTCACGCACACGTCCGCCTCACGCACACGTCCGCCTCACGCACACGTCCGCCTCACGCACACGTCCGCCTCACGCACACGTCCGCCTCACGCACACGTCCGCCTCACGCACACGTCCACCTCACGCACACGTCCACCTCACGCACACGTCCACCTCACGCACACGTCCACCTCACGCACACGTCCACGCCTCACGCACACGTCCGCCTCACGCACACGTCCGCCTCACGCACACGTCCGCCTCACGCACACGTCCGCATCACGCACACGTCCGCCTCACGCACACGTCCGCCTCACGCACACGTCTGCCTCACGCACACGTCCGCCTCACGCACACGTCCACCTCACGCACACGTCCACCTCACGCACACGTCCACCTCACGCACACGTCCACCTCACGCACACGTCCACCTCACGCACACGTCCACCTCACGCACACGTCCACCTCACCACACACGCACACGTCCACCTCACGCACACGTCCACCTCACGCACACGTCCACCTCACGCACACGTCCACCTCACGCACACGTCCACCTCACGCACACGTCCACCTCACGCACACGTCCACCTCACGCACACGTCCACCCCATGCACACGTCCACACGTCCACACCTCATGCACACGTCCACACCTCATGCACACGTCCACCTCATGCACACGTCCGCCTCATGCACACGTCCACACCTCATGCACACGTCCACCTCATGCACACGTCCGCACCGCGCACACGTCCGCACCGCGCACAGGACTGGGCGATATGGCTGAAAACTATATCACAATATAAGTAATTCATATCGGTCGATAACAATATATATTGATTGTTTTTTAAACCTAAATAATATGTTTGTCGTGTCGGCTAACACACGTTAGCAGCTCTGTTTGCAGTCACGTGGGAATGAAGCTAGAGGAATATGTTCACAAGCAGTTGTGAACATATTCCGCCATTGTTAGTCCTGGTTTAATCCGGGTTAGTTAGTAGTAGTAAGTAGTAAGTAATCTTTATTTATACACCGCCTTTTCACTGCACATCGGAGTCTCCTTTTTTGGAGTGGGGCCAGTACAGGAGGCACATGCCAGAACTATTGTACATATTTTTAGTGGTAGGGGAAACCGGAGCACCCGGAGGAAACCTACGCAGACACGGGGAGAACATGCAAACTCCACTCAGAAAGGCCCTGGTCCAACCGGGATTCGAACACAGGACCTTCTTGCTGAGAGGTGAGAGTGCTATCCACTAAGCTACCATGCCGCCCAGTTGGTCCTGGCTTAATCCAGGTTAGTTAGTCCTGGTTTAATCCTGGTTAGTTAGTCCTGTTCCTCAAACAGACGGGCAGAACCATTGACACGGCATTCAAACACAATCCATAGATCCGTGGACGCTACGCATGGTGCAGGTAAACTGTCATCGCAAAAAAGCCAATTAAAAGCCTTATGTGTTTCTGGTCGCCCCGGGATAGGATAGAGGCGCCTGATTGGTCGGTTATCATCGGTCATATCTGGATTGACAACATTCTACAAAACACCAGGATTATTTGTCAAATGAAATGACAGCTACATTTTGGAATCTCATCACTCAGGATTAGACAAGTTTGGAATGGCAACCTACATTCTTAAAACAACAAGATGTGAGCCGCGTAATCAATCCATCGATCGTTATTGGAAAGACAAAGTGCTTCACATTAACCACACAACAAGGCATTCAAATAAATCATGAACAATAAAAAGATACAATCCTTATGTTGTTGCAATGAAATAGAACCGCTTTAACCTGAATTTTAACATTGACAGAGTAGAAGCCTGTCTCACATTTTCAGGAAGACTGTTTAAGATTCATGCTGCTGGTAAGTAATCATTATCTATATAGCGCCTTTCACAGACCAGAGTCACAAAGCGGTTTACAATTGTGGGCATTTGTCTATTGTCCATGTTTTTAGTGATAAGGGAATCCGGAGCACCCAGAGAAACCTACGCAGACACAGGGAGAACATGCAAACTGCTTAGAAAGGCCCTGTTCCGACCGGGATTTGAACCCAAGACCTCAGCCAGCATGCTGCTACATGACCTACAATCTAGAACACTGCCTTCTCATGTTTAGTCTTGACTCTGGGACCAGCAGAGACCAGTCCCGGTGCAGAGACCTGAGAACTGGACTGATGCGACGGTACTTCCTGGTTCTAGTCTGAATATACTGCAGTGTTTTTGAGACCAGAGAGCAGCAGTTAATGTTAGAAATGTTATAGATCTTCCTAAACCGAGCAGACCCAGCAGTAAGTTAGCGTTAGCCGTTAGCATGTGTGCAGTACTTACACATATACTGGGGGTGGGGGGGTGCGCTCAGTATCAGCTCCACCTCGTCTCTGCAGCCTCAGTATCTGCCCGACCTCCTCCTCTGCACCACTCACCTGCAAAACATGGATTCAGGAAGATTTAAGTCATAAAACTAACTTTCAGCAGCTCAGTCACGAACAGATACATTGAACATCAGGGGTGTCCACACTTTTAGTAAGACTTATGTTAAACCAGAAAAACAGTTTTGAGTGGATTCAGTCTGTTCTGGGCTAGAAAATCAGGATATGTACAGACTGGTTAATCAAGAGTTTAAAAAAATAGTTCAAACAAGCCATCAATAAATGAGAAAATAAACATCTCTGGCGTCTGTCTCTCTGGCGTCTGTCTCTCTGGCGTCTGTCTCTCTGGCGTCTGTCTCTCTGGCGTCTGTCTCTCTGGCGTCTGTCTCTCTGGCGTCTGTCTCTCTGGTCTCTCTCTGGTCTCTCTCTCTCTGGTCTCTCTCTCTCTGGTCTCTCTCTCTCTGGTCTCTCTCTCTCTGGTCTCTCTCTCTCTGGTCTCTCTCTCTCTGGCGTCTCTCTCTCTGGTCTCTCTCTCTCTGGTCTCTCTCTCTCTGGTCTCTCTCTCTCTGGTCTCTCTCTCTCTGGTCTCTCTCTCTCTGGCGTCTCTCTCTCTGGTCTCTCTCTCTCTGGTCTCTCTCTCTCTGGTCTCTCTCTCTCTGGTCTCTCTCTCTCTCTCTCTGGTCTCTCTCTCTCTCTGGTCTCTCTCTCTGGTCTCTCTCTCTGGTCTCTCTCTCTCTCTGGTCTCTCTCTCTCTGGTCTCTCTCTCTCTGGTCTCTCTCTCTCTGGTCTCTCTCTCTCTGGTCTCTCTCTCTCTGGTCTCTCTCTCTCTGGTCTCTCTCTCTCTGGTCTCTCTCTCTCTGGTCTCTCTCTCTCTGGTCTCTCTCTGGTCTCTCTCTCTCTCTGGTCTCTCTCTCTCTCTGGTCTCTCTCTCTCTCTTCTCTCTCTCTCTCTGGTCTCTCTCTCTCTGGTCTCTCTCTCTCTGGTCTCTCTCTCTGGTCTCTCTCTCTCTGGTCTCTCTCTCTCTCTCTCTGGTCTCTCTCTCTCTCTGGTCTCTCTCTCTCTCTGGTCTCTCTCTCTGGTCTCTCTCTCTCTCTGGTCTCTCTCTCTCTCTGGTCTCTCTCTCTCTCTGGTCTCTCTCTCTCTCTGGTCTCTCTCTCTCTGGTCTCTCTCTCTCTGGTCTCTCTCTCTCTGGTCTCTCTCTCTCTGGTCTCTCTCTCTCTGGTCTCTCTCTCTCTGGTCTCTCTCTCTCTGGTCTCTCTCTCTCTGGTCTCTCTCTCTCTGGTCTCTCTCTCTCTGGTCTCTCTCTCTGGTCTCTCTCTCTCTGGTCTCTCTCTCTTCCTCGTCTGACTGCTCAGAAACCTCGGGAAACACCTATGAACACTTTGTAGATCCTATAATGGAAGTAAAAACAGAGGGTTACCTTGAGGACTAATACACTTTTTAATATATTAAGATGTAAAGTCATGTTGAAAATTGTAAAAACCACAGAACTCGGGGCAAGTGTTCAACAACACTACAAATAAAATAATAATAATGATATAGAAAAAAAAACTACATGTAGAAACAGAACAAGTCAAAGTTATGAAGACAAGAAATGATTTGACCGAGTGACAGTGGCCGCAGTCTGTGTGAGCGCAGAGGGCCACATCACAGGACTCAGCGGGCCGGGTTTGGCCCGCGGGCCGCAGGTTGGATCTGCTGGGATTACATCATTATAAGAAGCAGCCGGTAAATCCCAACTGACAATATGTCACAATATCAGACTGACAAGAACACTTGGGCCGGATGCCAGGTTAGTTTGTTGTTGGTGCCAGATTTTCAGTCAGTGAACTTTCCAGTGAAGAGGAGCAGAGAGACAGATCAGAGCTGTTTACATTCACAAACTCACATCTGTTTATCTACTTACCTGTTAGGACAAGGCCCATGAATGAACATGGCTGATGCTAAATATAAATATGTACCACAAGCAAAAAACAATCATCATTTCACAGATTCTCCAAAATCACACACTTATGACACAGGACATAATGTTTGGTCTCCTCCGGCCCAGACTCATGGGCAGCTACGGCCCCAGTCCTGGATCCACGGCCCCGGTCAGAGATCCACGGCCCCGGTCCCGGATCCACGGCCCCGGTCCCGGATCCACGGCCCCGGTCCCGGGTCCACGGCCCCGGTCCCGGGTCCACGGCCCCGGCCCCGGGTCCACGGCCCCGGCCCCGGGTCCACGGCCCCGGTCCCGGGTCCACGGCCCCGGTCCCGGGTCCACGGCCCCGGCCCCGGGTCCACGGCCCCGGTCCCGGGTCCACGGCCCCGGCCCCGGGTCCACGGCCCCTGTCCCGGGTCCACGGCCCCTGTCCCGGGTCCACGGCCCCTGTCCCGGGTCCACGGCCCCTGTCCAGGGTCCACGGCCCCTGTCCAGGGTCCACGGCCCCTGTCCAGGGTCCACGGCCTCTGTCCAGGGTCCACGGCCTCTGTCCAGGGTCCACGGCCTCTGTCCAGGGTCCACGGCCTCTGTCCAGGGTCCACGGCCTCTGTCCAGGGTCCACGGCCTCTGTCCAGGGTCCACGGCCTCTGTCCAGGGTCCACGGCCTCTGTCCAGGGTCCACGGCCTCTGTCCAGGGTCCACGGCCTCTGTCCAGGGTCCACGGCCTCTGTCCAGGGTCCACGGCCTCTGTCCAGGGTCCACGGCCTCTGTCCCGGATCCACGGCCTCTGTCCCGGATCCACGGCCTCGGTCCAGGATCCACGGCCTCTGTCCAGGATCCACGGCCTCTGTCCAGGATCCACGGCCTCTGTCCAGGATCCACGGCCTCAGACCCGGATATTTATCAACATGGTCATCTCGCTCCTCATGGACCAATGACTCCTTTGTGTTTCTGATTTAATTTCCTGTATTGAACTATTATTGAACAATACTATGTATTGAAGAGAGAGAGCAGGGGAGACGAGAGAGAGAGAGCAGGGGAGGAGAGAGAGAGAGCGGGGGAGGAGAGAGAGAGAGCGGGGGAGGAGAGAGAGAGAGCGGGGGAGACGAGAGAGAGAGCAGGGGAGGAGAGAGAGAGGGCAGGGGAGACGAGAGAGAGAGCGGGGGAGACGAGAGAGAGAGCAGGGGAGACGAGAGAGAGAGCAGGGGAGACGAGAGAGAGAGCAGGGGAGACGAGAGAGAGAGCAGGGGAGAAGAGAGAGAGAGCGGGGGAGAAGAGAGAGAGAGCGGGGGAGAGGAGAGAGAGAGCGGGGGAGAGGAGAGAGAGAGCGGGGAAGAGGAGAGAGAGAGCGGGGGAGAAGAGAGAGCAGGGGGGAGAGGAGAGAGAGAGCGGGGGAGAAGAGAGAGAGCAGGGGAAACGAGAGAGAGAGCAGGGGAGACGAGAGAGAGAGCGGGGAGAAGAGAGAGAGAGCGGGGGAGAGGAGAGAGAGCGGGGGAGAAGAGAGAGAGCAGGGGAGACGAGAGAGAGAGCAGGGGAGACGAGAGAGAGAGCGGGGAGAGAGAGAGAGAGCGGGGGAGACGAGAGAGAGAGCGGGGGAGAACGAGAGAGAGAGCGGGGGAGAAGGGAGAGCGGGGGACGAGAGAGAGAGAGCGGGGGAGAAGAGAGAGAGCGGGGGGAGAGGAGAGAGAGCAGGGGAGACGAGAGAGAGAGCGGAGGAGACGAGAGAGAGAGCAGGGGAGACGAGAGAGAGAGCAGGGGAGAGGAGGAGAGAGAGCAGGGGAGAGGAGAGAGAGAGCAGGGGAGAGGAGAGAGAGAGCATGGGAGACGAGAGAGAGAGCAGGGGAGACGAGAGAGAGAGCAGGGGAGACGAGAGAGAGAGCGGGGAGACGAGAGAGAGAGCGGGGGAGACGAGAGAGAGCAGGGGAGACGAGAGAGAGCAGGGGAGACGAGAGAGAGCAGGGGAGACGAGAGAGAGAGCAGGGGAGACGAGAGAGAGACGGGGGAGACGAGAGAGAGAGCAGGGGAGACGAGAGAGAGCAGGGGAGACGAGAGAGAGCAGGGGAGATGAGAGAGAGAGCAGGGGAGACGAGAGAGAGAGCGGGGGAGACGAGAGAGAGAGCGGGGGAGACGAGAGAGAGAGAGGGGGGAGACGAGAGAGAGAGCGGGGGAGAGGAGAGAGAGAGCAGGGGAGAGGAGAGAGAGAGGGGGGGAGGAGAGAGAGAGGGCAGGGGAGAAGAGAGAGAGAGCAGGGGAGAAGAGAGAGAGAGCAGGGGAGAAGAGAGAGAGAGCAGGGGAGAAGAGAGAGAGAGCAGGGGAGACGAGAGAGAGCAGGGGAGACGAGAGAGAGAGCAGGGGAGACGAGAGAGAGCAGGGGAGACGAGAGAGAGAGCAGGGGAGACGAGAGAGAGAGCGGGGGAGAAGAGAGAGAGCGGGGGAGAAGAGAGAGAGCGGGGGAGAAGAGAGAGAGCAGGGGAGAGGAGAGAGAGAGAGCAGGGGAGAAGAGAGAGAGCAGGGGAGACGAGAGAGAGAGCAGGGGAGAGAGAGAGAGAGCAGGGGAGACGAGAGAGAGAGCAGGGGAGAAGAGAGAGAGCGGGGGAGACGAGAGAGAGAGCAGGGGAGAAGAGAGAGAGCGGGGGAGACGAGAGAGAGAGCAGGGGAGAAGAGAGAGAGCGGGGGAGACGAGAGAGAGAGCAGGGGAGACGAGAGAGAGAGCAGGGGAGAAGAGAGAGAGCAGGGGAGACGAGAGAGAGAGCAGGGGAGAAGAGAGAGCGGGGGAGACGAGAGAGAGAGCAGGGGAGACGAGAGAGAGAGCAGGGGAGACGAGAGAGAGAGCAGGGGAGAAGAGAGAGAGCAGGGGAGACGAGAGAGAGAGCAGGGGAGAAGAGAGAGAGAGCAGGGGAGAAGAGAGAGAGCGGGGGAGACGAGAGAGAGAGCAGGGGAGACGAGAGAGAGAGCAGGGGAGACGAGAGAGAGAGCAGGGGAGAAGAGAGAGAGCGGGGGAGACGAGAGAGAGAGCAGGGGAGAAGAGAGAGAGCGGGGGAGACGAGAGAGAGAGCAGGGGAGACGAGAGAGAGAGCAGGGGAGAGGAGAGAGAGAGCAGGGGAGAGGAGAGAGAGAGCAGGGGAGAGGAGAGAGAGCAGGGGAGACGAGAGAGAGAGCAGGGGAGACGAGAGAGAGAGCAGGGGAGACGAGAGAGAGAGCAGGGGAGAAGAGAGAGCGGGGGAGACGAGAGAGAGAGCAGGGGAGACGAGAGAGAGAGCAGGGGAGACGAGAGAGAGAGCAGGGGAGAAGAGAGAGAGCAGGGGAGACGAGAGAGAGAGCAGGGGAGAAGAGAGAGAGAGCAGGGGAGAAGAGAGAGAGCGGGGGAGACGAGAGAGAGAGCAGGGGAGACGAGAGAGAGAGCAGGGGAGACGAGAGAGAGAGCAGGGGAGAAGAGAGAGAGCGGGGGAGACGAGAGAGAGAGCAGGGGAGAAGAGAGAGAGCGGGGGAGACGAGAGAGAGAGCAGGGGAGAAGAGAGAGAGCGGGGGAGACGAGAGAGAGAGCAGGGGAGACGAGAGAGAGAGCAGGGGAGAGGAGAGAGAGAGCAGGGGAGAGGAGAGAGAGAGCAGGGGAGAGGAGAGAGAGCAGGGGAGACGAGAGAGAGAGCAGGGGAGACGAGAGAGAGCAGGGGAGACGAGAGAGAGAGCAGGGGAGACGAGAGAGAGAGCGGGGGAGACGAGAGAGAGAGCGGGGGAGACGAGAGAGAGAGCAGGGGAGACGAGAGAGAGAGCAGGGGAGACGAGAGAGAGAGCAGGGAGAAGAGAGAGCGGGGGAGACGAGAGAGAGAGCAGGGGAGACGAGAGAGAGAGCAGGGGAGACGAGAGAGAGAGCAGGGGAGAAGAGAGAGAGCAGGGGAGACGAGAGAGAGAGCAGGGGAGAAGAGAGAGAGAGCAGGGGAGAAGAGAGAGAGCGGGGGAGACGAGAGAGAGAGCAGGGGAGACGAGAGAGAGAGCAGGGGAGACGAGAGAGAGAGCAGGGGAGACGAGAGAGAGCAGGGGAGAAGAGAGAGAGAGCGGGGGAGACGAGAGAGAGAGCAGGGGAGAAGAGAGAGAGCAGGGGAGACGAGAGAGAGCAGGGGAGACGAGAAAGAGCAGGGGAGACGAGAGAGAGAGCAGGGGAGACGAGAGAGAGAGCAGGGGAGACGAGAGAGAGAGCGGGGGAGAAGAGAGAGAGAGCAGGGGAGACGAGAGAGAGAGCAGGGGAGACGAGAGAGAGACCGGGGAGACGAGAGAGAGAGCAGGGGAGACGAGAGAGAGCAGGGGAGACGAGAGAGAGCACGGGAGACGAGAGAGAGCAGGGGAGACGAGAGAGAGAGCAGGGGAGAGGAGAGAGAGAGCAGGGGAGACGAGAGAGAGCAGGGGAGACGAGAGAGAGCAGGGGAGACGAGAGAGAGCAGGGGAGACGAGAGAGAGCAGGGGAGAAGATAGAGAGAGCAGGGGAGAGAGAGAGAGAGAGCGGGGGAGAAAGAGAGAGAGCAGGGGAGAAGAGAGAGAGAGCAGGGAGACGAGAGAGAGAGCAGGGGAGACGAGAGAGAGAGCAGGGGAGAAGAGAGAGAGCAGGGGAGAAGAGAGAGAGCAGGGGAGAAGAGAGAGAGCAGGGGAGAAGAGAGAGAGCAGGGAGAAGAGAGAGAGCAGGGGAGAAGAGAGAGAGCAGGGAAGAAGAGAGAGAGAGCAGGGGAGACGAGAGAGCAGGGGAGACGAGAGAGAGCAGGGGAGACGAGAGAGCAGGGGAGACAAGAGAGAGAGCGGGGGAGAAGAGAGAGAGCAGGGGAGAAGAGAGAGAGCAGGAGAGACGAGAGAGAGAGCAGGGGAGACGAGAGAGAGCAGGGGGGAAGAGAGAGAGCAGGGGAGAGGAGAGAGAGAGCTGGGGGAGAAGAGAGAGAGCAGGGGAGAAGAGAGAGAGCAGGGGAGAAGAGAGAGAGCAGGGAAGAAGAGAGAGAGCAGGGGAGACGAGAGAGCAGGGGAGACGAGAGAGAGCAGGGGAGACGAGAGAGAGAGCAGGGGAGAAGAGAGAGAGCGGGGGAGACGAGAGAGCAGGGGAGACAAGAGAGAGAGCGGGGGAGAAGAGAGAGAGCAGGGGAGAAGAGAGAGCAGGAGAGACGAGAGAGAGAGCAGGGGAGACGAGAGAGAGCGGGGGAGACGAGAGAGAGAGCGGGGGAGACGAGAGAGAGCGGGGGAGACGAGAGAGAGAGCGGGGGAGACGAGAGAGAGAGCGGGGGAGACGAGAGAGAGAGCAGGGGAGACGAGAGAGAGAGCAGGGGAGACGAGAGAGAGAGCAGGGGAGAAGAGAGAGAGAGCAGGGGAGACGAGAGAGAGAGCAGGGGAGACGAGAGAGAGAGCAGGGGAGAAGAGAGAGAGAGCCGGGGAGAAGAGAGAGAGAGCGGGGGAGAAGAGAGAGAGCAGGGGAGAAGAGAGAGAGAGCGGGGGAGACGAGAGAGAGAGCAGGGGAGACGAGAGAGAGAGCAGGGGAGACGAGAGAGAGAGCAGGGGAGAAGAGAGAGAGCAGGGGAGAAGAGAGAGAGAGCGGGGGAGACGAGAGAGAGAGCAGGGGAGAGGAGAGAGAGAGCAGGGGAGACGAGAGAGAGAGCAGGGGAGAAGAGAAGGAGAGCAGGGGAGAAGAGAGAGAGAGCAGGGGAGACGAGAGAGAGAGCAGGGGAGACGAGAGAGAGAGCAGGGGAGACGAGAGAGAGGTGCAGGGGAGACGAGAGAGAGCGGGGGAGACGAGAGAGAGAGCAGGGGAGAAGAGAGAGAGAGCGGGGGAGAAGAGAGAGAGAGCGGGGGAGAAGAGAGAGAGAGCAGGGGAGACGAGAGAGAGAGCAGGGGAGACGAGAGAGAGAGCAGGGGAGACGAGAGAGAGCGCAGGGGAGAAGAGAGAGAGCGGGGGAGACGAGAGAGAGAGCGGGGGAGACGAGAGAGAGAGCAGGGGAGACGAGAGAGAGAGCGGGGGAGAGGAGAGAGAGAGCAGGGGAGACGAGAGAGAGAGAACGGGGACGAGAGAGAGAGCAGGGGAGACGAGAGAGAGCAGGGGAGACGAGAGAGAGAGCAGGGGAGAGGAGAGAGAGAGCGGGGGAGAGGAGAGAGAGAGAACGGGGACGAGAGAGAGAGCAGGGGAGACGAGAGAGAGAGAGCAGGGGAGACGAGAGAGAGAGCGGGGGAGAGGAGAGAGAGCGGGGGAGACGAGAGAGAGAGCAGGGGAGACGAGAGAGAGAGCAGGGGAGACGAGAGAGAGAGCGGGGGGACGAGAGAGAGAGCAGGGGAGACGAGAGAGAGAGCAGGGGAGACGAGAGAGAGAGCAGGGGAGACGAGAGAGAGAGCGGGGGGAGACGAGAGAGAGAGCAGGGGAGACGAGAGAGAGAGCGGGGGAGAGGAGAGAGAGAGCAGGGGAGACGAGAGAGAGAGCAGGGAGAAGAGAGAGAGGGCAGGGGAGACGAGAGAGAGAGCGGGGGAGACGAGAGAGAGAGCGGGGGAGACGAGAGAGCAGGGGAGAAGAGAGAGAGCAGGGGAGAAGAGAGAGAGCAGGGGAGAAGAGAGAGAGAGCGGGGAGACGAGAGAGAGAGCAGGGGAGACGAGAGAGAAAGCAGGGGAGAAGAGAGAGAGCGGGGGAGAAGAGAGAGAGCAGGGGAGAAGAGAGAGAGAGAGCAGGGGGAGAAGAGAGAGAGCAGGGGAGACGAGAGAGAGAGCAGGGGAGAAGAGAGAGAGAGCGGGGGAGAAGAGAGAGAGCAGGGGAGAAGAGAGAGAGAGAGCGGGGGAGAAGAGAGAGAGCAGGGGAGAAGAGAGAGAGAGCAGGGGAGAAGAGAGAGAGAGCGGGGGAGAAGAGAGAGAGAGCGGGGGAGAAGAGAGAGAGAGGGGGGAGAAGAGAGAGAGCAGGGGAGAAGAGAGAGAGCAGGGGAGAAGAGAGAGAGCGGGGGAGACGAGAGAGAGAGCAGGGGAGAGGAGAGAGCGAGCAGGGGAGACGAGAGAGAGCAGGGGAGAGAGGAGGAGAGAGAGAGCAGGGGAGACGAGAGAGAGAGCAGGGGAGACGAGAGAGAGAGCAGGGGAGACGAGAGAGAGCAGGGGAGAAGAGAGAGAGAGCGGGGGAGAAGAGAGAGAGAGCAGGGGAGAGAGAGAGAGAGCGGGGGAGAGACGAGAGAGAGAGGGGGGGAGACGAGAGAGAGAGCGGGGGGAGAGAAGAGAGAGCGGGGAACGAGAGAGGGGAGAGAGAGGGGGAGACGAGAGAGAGAGCAGGGGAGACGAGAGAGAGAGCAGGGGAGACGAGAGAGAGAGCAGGGGAGACGAGAGAGAGAGCAGGGGAGACGAGAGAGAGAGCAGGGGAGAAGAGAGAGAGAGCGGGGGAGAAGAGAGAGAGAGCGGGGGAGAAGAGAGAGAGAGCAGGGGAGAGGAGAGAGAGAGCAGGGGAGACTAGAGAGAGAGCGGGGGAGAAGAGCGAGAGAGCGGGGGGGAGAGAGAGAGAGAGGGGAGAGAGAGAGAGAGAGAGGAGAGAGAGAGAGCAGGGGAGAGAGAGAGAGAGCAGGGGAGAAGAGAGAGAGAGCAGGGGAGAGAGAGAGAGAGAGCAGGGGAGAAGAGAGAGAGCAGGGGAGAAGAGAGAGAGCAGGGGAGAAGAGAGAGAGCAGGGAGAGAGAGAGAGAGAGCAGGGGAGAAGAGAGAGAGAGCAGGGGAGAAGAGAGAGAGCAGGGAAGAAGAGAGAGAGAGCAGGGAGACGAGAGAGCAGGGGAGACAAGAGAGAGCAGGGGAGACGAGAGAGAGCAGGGGAGACGAGAGAGAGAGCAGGGGAGAGAGAGAGAGCGGGGGAGAAGAGAGAGAGCGGGGGAGACGAGAGAGCAGGGGAGACAAGAGAGAGAGCGGGGAGAGAAGAGAGAGAGCAGGGGGAGAGAGAGAGAGAGCAGGAGAGACGAGAGAGAGAGCAGGGGAGACGAGAGAGAGAGCGGGGGAGACGAGAGAGAGAGCGGGGGAGACGAGAGAGAGAGCGGGGGAGACGAGAGAGAGCGGGGGAGACGAGAGAGAGCGGGGGAGACGAGAGAGAGAGCGGGGGAGACGAGAGAGAGAGCGGGGGAGACGAGAGAGAGAGCGGGGGAGACGAGAGAGAGAGCGGGGAGACGAGAGAGAGAGCGGGGGAGACGAGAGAGAGAGCAGGGGAGACGAGAGAGAGAGCAGGAGAGACGAGAGAGAGAGCAGGGGAAGAGAGAGAGAGAGAGAGAGGAGGAGGGAGAGAGAGAGAGAGAGCAGGGGAGAGAGAGAGAGAGCGGGGGAGACGAGAGAGAGAGCGGGGGAGACGAGAGAGAGAGCGGGGAGAGAGAGAGAGAGCGGGGGAGAAAGAGAGAGAGCAGGGGAGAGAGAGAGAGAGAGCAGGGGAGAAGAGAGAGAGAGCGGGGAGAGAGAGAGAGAGCAGGGGAGAGAGAGAGAGAGCAGGGGAGAAGAGAGAGAGCGGGGAGAGAGAGAGAGAGAGCGGGGAGAGAGAGAGAGAGAGCGGGGGAGAGAGAGAGAGAGAGCAGGGGAGAAGAGAGAGAGAGCAGGGGGGAGAAGAGAGAGAGAGCAGGGGAGAAGAGAGAGAGAGCGGGGGAGAGGAGAGAGAGAGCAGGGGAGAAGAGAGAGAGCAGGGGAGAAGAGAGAGAGAGCAGGGGAGAAGAGAGAGAGAGAGCGGGGGAGAAGAGAGAGAGAGCAGGGGAGAAGAGAGAGAGAGCAGGGGAGAAGAGAGAGAGAGCAGGGGAGACAGAGAGAGAGAGGGGGAGAGAGGAGAGAGGGGAGAGAGAGAGAGAGCAGGGGAGAGAGAGAGAGAGCGGGGAGAAGAGAGAGAGAGCAGGGGGAGAAGAGAGAGAGCAGGGGGAGAGAGAGAGGGAGAGAGAGAGAGGGGGAGACGAGAGAGAGAGCAGGGGAGAGAGAGAGAGAGCAGGGGAGACGAGAGAGAGAGCAGGGGGAGAGAGAGAGAGAGCAGGGGAGGGACGAGAGAGAGCAGGGGAGACGAGAGAGAGAGACGAGGGAGAGAGCAGGGAGAGAGAGAGAGAGAGCGGGGAGAGAGAGAGAGAGCAGGGGGAGAGAGAGAGAGCAGGGGAGAGGAGAGAGAGAGAGCAGGGGAGAGAAGAGAGAGAGCAGGGGAGACGAGAGAGAGAGCAGGGGAGAAGAGAGAGAGCGGGGGAGAAGAGAGAGAGAGCGGGGGAGGAGAGAGAGAGAGCAGGGGAGAAGAGAGAGAGAGCAGGGGAGACGAGAGACACATGTAGAAAATAAACACATTTTATGAAAATTCTAAAATCCACAATTTCCAACGCCATATGACGTCATAATATGCTAATTAGATGGTGCACTTATTTCCTACATAAAACTTTTGGCCATCCTTAATAATTCTGTAATTTACAGAAAGTCTTTATCTCACTTTTAAGTTACAGCCTTTGAAATAAAAATGTCAAATGTTTTTGAGTATATCACTCAACAACGTACAATTATCCTAAAAATGACTTAATGACACAAACGTGTCTTGTCTGTAATAAACAAAACCTGTTTTTGTGCACTTCACACTGCAGAGCACACACTTGTATGTTTCTTTGTGTTGATCCAAGGCCACGTTTTTAATAACGGGATGGAAACTAAAAATGCTTTTTTTTATCCGATTAATCAAAGAAATAATCGACAGATTAATCGATTATTAAAATAATCGTTAGTTGCAGCTCTAATTTAGAGCGAAACACAAACAAGGAGCCGGGTCACGTTGAGCTGTTTGGGAGATGTTCCTGGAGTTATGAGCGGTATGTGGTCGGACCGCTCTCTGCGCACACCGCCGCCACTGACTGACGGGATCAACGCACGCCATTTATGCACGGTTGGAAGTGGGACGGAAGAGAAATGAGGTTAGAGTTGCCAAAAGGATGCAAAAACTCAGTACAGGTCCATTAAGAAGACTTTAGAATAAATCATTTCAAAAACATGTTTAAAGCTAGCAACAGGCTTCAAACAGGTTAGTCTGTGGCCCCCTAGTGGACATCCAAGTGTAATGTCAGTATATGCCGTGTTGTGTTACGAGGCCCTCAGCCGCTAACAAAGAAGCCAGTGAGGTACTTTCCCAGTGTCATCCAGCCAGCTTCAGCCCCATCTGTATAGTCAAGCTCAGAACCTTTGGAATCCAGGTGTCAAGTATATTTGTTATTGATTGTGTCACAAAAGTCCATGTGACTCAATATGGCCACATCAAACCCCATTTTAAAGCCCAGAAAATAATGTTAAAAGGCTGGATTCTGTTCACGTCACAACACGCAAAGTAACCTCAGGGTTTTCAGTAGAAGTGGATTTTCTCACGTCAAAAATATTTGTGGAATTTCTAGAATGAACGTGAGAAGTCTAAACCACGTATGCATTTAGGTCAAAGAGCAAAGAAAACAACACAAAACAGTTGCCCTCCCCTGCAGAATACTTCACAGTCATCAGAGAAGGAGAATAACAACAGAGCGTAGACATAACAGCAGTCTGGAAAAGTCACATAATGTTCGGTAGATTAGAGTTTAGGGACGATGACAGGAGAGATTAATGATATTTTTCAGATATTAGGATCAGATCTAACATTGACAGAGCTTGTTGTAGCTTGTTGTTACTTTAAAATGTTAGGAAAGAACCTCCCTCTCCACTTTTCGAGCACAACTATCACCAGAAGGATTAAGACCATTGCTCCTCCCACTTGTCAATGATCCACAGAAGTAGAAAATCCTCCAAAATATCTTTAAGAATGTAAATATTCAGACATTTTCCCCTCACACTAATATTTCATATGTATTTTTATTCAGTGTGATGTATTGTCGTCCTACGGTCATGAAATAAAATGCATAATCAAATTATAATGGGCAATTGGAATGTTTTTCCCCCATTTATGTGTTAATTAAAGATGTATATACAATTTCCCTTAACCCAAAAGACAAATCTGTGCAAATGTTCTCATATAAAAATACTAAATATCATGTAGATAAAATGTGAGTGGGTTTTTAATTCTACAACAGCAAAATACAGGGCACTCCACATATCAAACACTACTACTATTTTAATTAAAGACATATAGGATGATTTTTGTTCAAAAAGTGGAGAGGTTCTTTCCTAAAATGTGGGGAAATCCTTCTTTAATCTTTAAAAAGGTGTGCTCTGCTCTCACTGCCTTCACCAGTCTGCAGCCTGTGCCACATGTGAAACTATCCCCGCGGGTTTTATCATCAAATACAAATATTCTAATGGAGGAAACGTCACAAAGTCCAAATAAGTTGCATTTCATGAGAGAATTGTAGCGTAAACATTATACCTGTGCTAATGTGCTATCCCGTTAGCATCTCCCAGTCACCTGCTCCTCTCTCGCTCCTTCACCGCTGTGTGCCCGGCTCGACCCCGGTGCATCCTGGGAGTTTAAAAAAAATATACTATTGTTTTATTATGACTATTATGACTTTCAAATTCGGGTTCTCTCACACATTTCCACTATATTTCACGTTTTATTTAATGTTATGTGTGAAATTACGTGTCGAAAGTGTAAGTTGTTTTCGTAGATTGGAAATAGCGGCGCTCTCTGTGGTAACCATGGTAACTAACACCCGAATTTTCTCAAACATCCATCCTCGCACAACTTCATTATTGTGCTATAAAATAAACATTCTTTAGACAAAGTTGCCCCATGTTTGGTTAAACAACATTTGAGAACTTTGTGAGACTGTTTTAAAACCACTATGAACAATAAAAACGATAGTAGAAAAGATGAGGAAAGGTGAAGCAAAACATCTGCAGTAATGGTTTTATTATAATAAGGACTTTTTAAGAGGATTTTCGGTATTATTAAAGACCTCTACATACAGTTATACATGTTTTTTTTTTCTTTTTAAATGCTTATAAATGTGATTTCAAACTTCAAGCATCATCAGGTTTGTGTTGAGAAAAATCTCAGGCGTAATACTCATTCTGTCCTCTAGAGGTCAGCACTGCACCGCACATTACACCTGCCTTGGTCCGAATCATAATCTGGAGACAACATCCTCGTTCTTCCTGAACCTTTGCTTAACTGCATAATAAGATACTTTACAGACGTTGTTGTTGCTTTTTGCGAGTAATTTATCGCCAACAGAGCCCATTGTAAAGAAAAAGTAACAAAAACTAAATTTAGGGAAGGGGCTGTTTTTTATGAAATTGGAAGCAACCCTGAAAGAGACATCAGCGCATGCGCATTTTGCCTGAAGTTGACGGCGGGCGGTTTCGGTTGTTTCCATGTTGTGAATGTGCTCAGCTCTGTGCTTTTTGGGTATGTTTGCCTCATTAATGAACGTAATTCTTGGTTTTTGATTATTGTCTTTTCACATCAGTGATAATCTGAGTTGGTAGTTTAGTCTCAACCTCACCTTGAGTCCTGGTTTAGTCCTAGTTCCCCAAAGGCAGCTGTGGCTACAGAAGTTATCACCAGAAGTTATGGAGTGATAGAATGATTACATGTGAAGCTTCTTGATTATTATTATTATTCTATCACTAGTTTTCACATCATGTATTTCTGGCCTCTGTTACATCTGTAGATCATCTTTTTCAGACAGAAAATCGAAAAGACAGGACCACAATCACTCAAATAATGACTCACAGGGCGCTTTCTTACAAGTATGCAAAAGATCGCATGTTGTCTGGTTTGTTGTTATTTATCAGATGAATACGTTCTGTACCAGGTTTGAATAGCCCTGTCCTAACCTGTGTGTGTGTGTGTGTGTGTGTGTGTGTGTGTGTGTGTGCCTGTGTGTGTGCCTGTGTGTACCTGTGTGTGTGTTGTACCTGTGTGTGTGTGTGTGTTCCTGTGTGTGTACAGCAGGAGCAGATGCAGTCGGAGCATGAGGAGAGCCCTCCCCTGGTGTTCTTTGACCTGGAGACCACTGGACTGAGTGAGAAACCTTCCTCTTGTCTTTTCATCATCTGCAACGTCTGTGAACTTTTAACAACAGTGTTCCCTTCTTTACTCTTTAAGGTAGTAAAGTCAGTATGTTTTAAAATCTGAATTAGAGAAAATAACACCTGAAGTTCTGTTGATGACAGATAAAGGAGAGAGGAGAGGATAGTGCTGTTACCATTGTTCTCCAGCAGGGGTCTCTGTATACAGCTTCACTGACAATCTGTATTTATTAAATCATGGTATTTTTGCAGCTAAAGCAGGGAACAGCTTCCGGAAAATATGAGACAGGCTTCTTCTCTGACAATGTTCAAATTCAAGTTAAAAACAACTGAAGGATCGTGTCTTCACTATTTTTAATGAACTGTGATTATTGATCATTCTAATGCCTTGTTTTGTTCAGCACTTTGAGTTCCCTCATGTATGATCTGTGCTATACAGATAAACTCTCCTGTGATTGGTCCCGTTTCAGGCCGGGACTGTGAGGTGGTGCAGCTGGCGGCCGTGAGCTCGTCCCACTCCCTGAACCTGTACATACTTCCCCGCGGGGCCATGGAGCGCGGGGCCAGCCGGGTCACGGGGCTCAGGGTCCATAAGAACGCCCTGTACCTGCACCAGAGGCCCCTGCTCTGCACCCCCCCCACTGAGGCTCTGCTGGCCTTCCTCTGCTTCCTGCGCATGGTACCGCCCACTGGCCCCACATGGACCTTATACCTACTTACCTCTCTCCTTACTTACTTACTTACTGACCTCTTTCTCCTTACTTACCTACTTACTTTCTTACTTAACCTACTTACTTAACCTACTTACTTCTTTTTATTCATCTCATTAAAATGCATGAAAGGAGCAGATAGAAGAATATAATTCTCATATTTTATTCTTACTTACTTACCCACTTTCTTACCTACTAACTTACTTTCTTACATACTTATTTAACTACAGACCTACTGACTGACCTACCTACCTCTCTCTACCTACCTACTGGGAACTTAATGAAAATGCATTGGTTTTATGCAGTGCTGTCTGGACACTCAAAGAGGCGTCACATGGTCACTATCACCACATACACGGTGTGTACTATGGGACACTTTCTCGATCACGTGTGTTTGGCCTCCAACATGTTTTTAGATCAGCTTTATCAGATCTAAACACGTGACAGAGGCGTTTAGAGCATTGTTTACTTTAGAATGTTCTGGAAACAGCAGCAAGTGTTTCTGAAACTGTTTTTGTTTTGTGGTTTACCATTGTTTTTTTTGTTTTTTTTCTGCCTGAGATGTTGCTGCTGTTCAGTGTTCATGGTTTTACACTGGTCCAGACCAGAGCAGAGAGGATTCATGGTTTTACACTGGTCCAGACCAGAGCAGAGAGGATTCATGGTTTTACACTGGTCCAGACCAGAGCAGAGAGGATTCATGGTTTTACACTGGTCCAGACCAGAGCAGAGAGGATTCATGGTTTTACACTGGTCCAGACCAGAGCAGAGAGGATTCATGGTTTTACACTGGTCCAGACCAGCGCAGCGAGGATTCATGGTTTTACACTGGTCCAGACCAGAGCAGAGAGGATTCATGGTTTTACACTGGTCCAGACCAGAGCAGAGCGGATTCATGGTTTTACACTGGTCCAGACCAGAGCAGAGAGGATTCATGGTTTTACACTGGTCCAGACCAGAGCAGAGAGGATTCATGGTTTTACACTGGTCCAGACCAGAGCAGAGAGGATTCATGGTTTTACACTGGTCCAGACCAGAGCAGAGAGGATTCATGGTCCGAACCAAGTGGCTTCTCCACCTCTGCTGCTGTGACCGAAGTGTTCTATTTTTAGAATTATCTATTTATTTTTTCTGCTGCCACGGGACACCTGAATTAATCAATAAAGTATCTATCAATATATTATTATTATTATCATCATCATATTTATCTAATAATCCAAAACAATGCTCATTTGGCAGTGTGACCTCTGACGTGCCGGTGTAGTGTGACCTCTGACGTGCCGGTCAGTGCAACCTCTGACGTGCCGGTGTAGTGCGACCTCTGACGTGCCGGTCAGTGTGACCTCTGACGTGCCGGTCAGTGTGACCTCTGACGTGCCGGTCAGTGCGACCTCTGACGTGCCGGTGTAGTGCGACCTCTGACGTGCCGGTCAGTGTGACCTCTGACGTGCCGGTCAGTGCGACCTCTGACGTGCCGGTCAGTGCGACCTCTGACGTGCCGGTGTAGTGTGACCTCTGACGTGCCGGTCAGTGCGACCTCTGACGTGCCGGTCAGTGTGACCTCTGACGTGCCGGTGTAGTGTGACCTCTGACGTGCCGGTCAGTGTGACCTCTGACGTGCCGGTGTAGTGTGACCTCTGACGTGCCGGTGTAGTGTGACCTCTGACGTGCCGGTGTAGTGTGACCTCTGACGTGCCGGTCAGTGTGACCTCTGACGTGCCGGTGTAGTGTGACCTCTGACGTGCCGGTCAGTGTGACCTCTGACGTGCCGGTGTAGTGTGACCTCTGACGTGCCGGTCAGTGTGACCTCTGACGTGCCGCTGTAGTGTGACCTCTGACGTGCCGGTGTAGTGTGACCTCTGACGTGCCGGTGTAGTGTGACCTCTGACGTGCCGGTGTAGTGTGACCTCTGACGTGCCGGTGTAGTGTGACCTCTGACGTGCCGGTGTAGTGTGACCTCTGACGTGCCGGTGTAGTGTGACCTCTGACGTGCCGGTGTAGTGTGACCTCTGACGTGCCGGTCAGTGTGACCTCTGACGTGCCGCTTTAGTGTGACCTCTGACGTGCCGGTGTAGTGTGACCTCTGACGTGCCGGTGTAGTGTGACCTCTGACGTGCCGGTCAGTGTGACCTCTGACGTGCCGCTGTAGTGTGACCTCTGACGTGCCGCTGTAGTGTGACCTCTGACGTGCCGGTGTAGTGTGACCTCTGACGTGCCGGTGTAGTGTGACCTCTGACGTGCCGGTGTAGTGTGACCTCTGACGTGCCGGTGTAGTGTGACCTCTGAGTTGACCTCTGACGTGCCGGTCAGTGTGACCTCTGACGTGCCGGTGTAGTGTGACCTCTGACGTGCCGGTGTAGTGTGACCTCTGACGTGCCGGTCAGTGTGACCTCTGACGTGCCGGTGTAGTGTGACCTCTGACGTGCCGGTCAGTGTGACCTCTGACGTGCCGCTGTAGTGTGACCTCTGACGTGCCGCTGTAGTGTGACCTCTGACGTGCCGGTGTAGTGTGACCTCTGACGTGCCGGTGTAGTGTGACCTCTGACGTGCCGGTGTAGTGTGACCTCTGACGTGCCGGTGTAGTGTGACCTCTGACGTGCCGGTGTAGTGTGACCTCTGACGTGCCGGTGTAGTGTGACCTCTGACGTGCCGGTCAGTGTGACCTCTGACGTGCCGCTGTAGTGTGACCTCTGACGTGCCGGTGTAGTGTGACCTCTGACGTGCCGGTCAGTGTGACCTCTGACGTGCCGCTGTAGTGTGACCTCTGACGTGCCGGTGTAGTGTGACCTCTGACGTGCCGGTGTAGTGTGACCTCTGACGTGCCGGTGTAGTGTGACCTCTGACGTGCCGGTGTAGTGTGACCTCTGACGTGCCGGTGTAGTGTGACCTCTGACGTGCCGGTGTAGTGTGACCTCTGATGTGCCGGTGTAGTGTGTGACCTCTGACGTGCCGGTGTAGTGTGACCTCTGACGTGCCGGTGTAGTGTGACCTCTGACGTGCCGGTGTAGTGTGACCTCTGATGTGCCGGTGTAGTGTGTGACCTCTGACGTGCCGGTGTAGTGTGACCTCTGACGTGCCGGTGTAGTGTGACCTCTGACGTGCCGGTGTAGTGTGACTTTTCTGATCTGAATAATGTTATCTTGCTCTTTCCTCCAGTGTCCTTCAGATCTGCTCTCTGCCTTTTTGTCTCAAATGGGAACACTGTGTATCACCTGATAAATGACACATCCCAGACGCCTCGCAGCTCTGCAGCCCAATTATGTCTACAAGAAAATACATCCAACTTGCCTTAAAGCTGCACTAACTGACTTTATTTTTGTATTCATTACGAAAATGCTATCCATGTCCGTGTAGGGCTTTGGGATATACGTCCTTTTGAAGAAAAAGTAGCGCAGATTTGTGCTGGCGTGACATTATATTTTAGATCGAGTTTTGATGAAACAAGGAAGAGAACGTGTTTCGGGTCGCAGATTGTGACCAATCACCGCGGACCACTGGCCCCCACTTTTGTGAGAAATCTACAGGTCTCCGTTAGCATAGACGGCTGAGTTAGCACAACAAGCCGAGGAGCTAACCTGAAGCTTCGTCTCTTCGTCACCGGTTACTGCTTACACAGCGAGACAGCCATCCAAAAGAAAGTCCTGTTCCTCCGCTCTTCCCGGTTCTATCGTTCTATGGTCACGCCATCCACGTGCAAATCCATGTCCATGTATTATCCATATTGGGAGACGCTAGCTTCGTCCCAACAGTGAGTGTGAGTGGGGGGCGATAGCTTCGTGGGTGCGGGGAGGGGAGCAGAAAGAGAGAGGCCAGTGAGTCCACGGCTTCAAAATCCCAAAGTCAGTTAGTGCAGCTTTAAAAGAACCAAAAAACAGCCCTCAGCCCAAAGAGTCAAAGAGTGACTTTCTTCTAAGTTTGTAAAAGATGAAATGTTGGAGGCAGAATGTAGCGTCTGATTTCATTATATTTGAATAGACTTTAATTATGAAAGAAAAGTCAGGGACCCAAGCTTTAGGATGGCCGTACCTGCAGGTGAAAGTCAGATCCTGTCAGACCTCTGAAGCTAAGCAGGGCAGGGTGTGGTCAGTACTGTGATGGGAGACCTATGGGAACAGCAAGTGACACAGTGGGGCGTCTCTGCCAGTAAAGTGCCAAACTGTGGTTGTGTCCTTAGGCAAGACACTTTACCCACATTAGAATGAGTCTGGTGTGTGTGTGAATGGTTGGTGGTGGTGGGAGGGGCTGATGGCACAGACTGGTTGCCTCGCTTCTGTCAGTGTGCCCCAGGGCAGCTGTGGCACCCTAACTGTGTTTGGAGTGAGTGCATAATGTGAAGTGTCCAAACAAGACTTTATAAAACAGTGCATCATAAGTACAATAATATTTTCTATGGTTTGAAAATTGACTAAGCCGTTACCATGGTTTCCATGTTTGAGGGACATTTAATGCAAAGCAATAATATATCATGTTTCAGGACTGAACTCATAAAATGCTGTGTGTGTGCAGTGCCACAGGCCCCCACAGCGCCCCCTCCTGGTGGGACACAACGCCCGAGCCTTCGACGTGCCGGTGCTGCTGCGCGCACTGGAGCAGTGCGGCCTGCGGGAGGCGCTGCAGGACTGTGTGGAGGGAGCCGTGGACAGCCTGGCTCTGGCCCGGGACCTGCTGCAGGGTCAGGGCGGCAGCTTCAGGCAGGGGGCGCTGGTGAGGCGGCTACTGGGGGAGGAGTACACGGCCCACGATGCACTGCAGGACGCTCGGGCGCTGCAGCGGCTCGTGCTGCTCGGACTGAGGCCGCGGCCGCAAGACCTGAGCCGCCACACCTTCAGCACCACCTGAGCCGCCACCCCTTCAGCACCACCTGAGCCGCCACACCTTCAGCACCACCTGAGCCGCCACCCCTTCAGCACCACCTGAGCCGCCACACCTTGAGCACCACCTGAGCCGCCACACCTACAGCACCACCTGAGCCGCCACACCTTCAGCACCACCTGAGCCGCCACACCTTCAGCACCACCTGAGTCGCCACACCTTCAGCACCACCTGAGCCGCCACCCCTTCAGCACCACCTGAGCCGCCACCCCTTCAGCCTGAGCACGAGTGACGAGCCGGCTCTGTGGAGGAGTGTCCAGGTCACATGATCGCGCACAGAAGGATTTTCAATTGTTATTATAATTAACTTTGTACAGATGTGTGTGTGCGATGTCTTTCCTTATATTTATCCTTTTTGATCTTGTATTGTTTCTCATGCAGCACTTTGTAATTATACTTATTCTGATCTTATGATAGTTTTATTTTACCAAATGGACGACAAAAATAACACAAACTACAAACAGAGTCAAATGCAGACTGTAACAGGCTAAACATGTGTATACATTACTTGGTCTTGTGTCCAATCAGGCCCCAAAAAATCTAATCCACAAATATTAAGCAGTAAACTCTAAAAAATAAATCTATATTCTTGTATTATTATGTTGATTCACTTAAAGGAACAATATGTAAAAATCTGGCCAAAAGTGGTACTGCAGTCACAGTCAATATTTTGTAGTCCTCTCCCACTCTCCCTGACTCAGGTTGCCAGATTCACACCAAATCCAGCAGCAAACACAGGGAATTATTTTATCAGTTGTTTGTCCGTCTCCATTCACATTGCCATGACAGCCGTGCTAATGCTGAATGAATGTTTTGATTAATGTTTTTTTATTATTATTATTTGGACATTTGAGATAAACAAAAACAAAATAAAAGCAATGTAATTATACATAGTTTATGCAAAATAAATAAGCAATTGATGTCCAAAATAGGAGTGGGAAGAATGGATGTTGGAACGTATTTCTTCAGCGTATCAACATCAGGGTTTGCTCAAGAGGATATCACCTTTCAATTTTATTTATTCCCTATTTTTTAGACAAACATGTAAAAGTTCCACATCAAAAAGAGACTAACATTATTTTAATTGGGGTACATGTGGTCTTAAATGATTATTTTTACAATTAAGCTATAATCTGCAAAAAAACGTCTTGACCTTCATCTTTTACCGTTTTTAGAGCAATCTGTCATAGAATGTGATAACATGCAATAAATACAAAAAGACATAGCCCGGGATCGAACCTGGGTTCCTGCATCGCAAGCGCACAGTTTAGACCACTAGTCCACCGATTCACACGAATGGAGAAAATTCTGCATCACAAGTTAACTTTTATCAGCTGTCTCAATTGTTCAAAGGCATCCCGATATAAATCCTCGTTTTAGTCTTTGTTTTGTCATTAATGATTTGAGAGTCATAACAAGACCTTTTTTAGTTCTGCGCCACATGTTATTTTACCACTGAGATTAATGAGCCGCGCGGAGTTCTGGCAACACGATCACGGACGTACATGACACTTCCTGATTGGCCAAACGGCGGAGGGTAGGACATCAAAATCAAAACAATAACAACTTTTACGGGTCGTAAAACTAATTTTGATAATCAAATATCTCGGCTGAACTACTGTTATCAGTTAAAGATGAATTCGAAAAGAGTATGATTTAATAACGCCTTTTGAAATATTCGGGTCATTTAATGATGACTTGACATGCAAATATATATATTGCTCCTTATGCCGGGTTTAAAAAAAAAAAAATTGTGGATATCAAAATTGCATGACAATGTCGATCTGAAATAGATTCTGGCAAAAAAAATCTTATATTTTATAAAAAGAACGTGTTTTTCATGAATTTAAGCTGTCTATGCTCTAACCTGTGTGTGACGTCACAGCAGGTAACGCCCATGCATTGAAAACCATGGATCTATGCCACAGAACTGCCTTTTCTCTCTTCTCTCCACTGATGCCCAACACAATACTGCCCTCTACAGGTGACAATTGCTCACTACACATACATTGCCGTTTTGAGAGTGAAAAAGTGTCTGAGGTGGGATTTGAACCCCAGTATCTGGATTGGCAGTCCATCGACACAACCACTGGACTATCTCAGTGCCGACAAATTGTTATAATCTAGTAGAAATATCATACTCGCTGTGAGAACGAATACCAAATTGTAAACAACTTACAGCGTTGAAACGTACCCACTCTGACGTCACCAAGGGCTGTGAAGTTTTTTCGTCTCTAAGGGCGTTGCTATGGGGTTATTTCGATTTGGGGGGATCAGACAAAAAAAACAACAACTGATTTTGAAACCTTTAGTAGTTCTCTTCTAATATAAAATGGTATTAAAACTGTATTTCTAAATAAATCAAACCCGGCATAAGGTCTTTAACTCTTGTGCTCCTCATTCACTTGTGATGGAAAACTGAAATGTACCTTTCTGGACACTGGTCTTCCCGCTCCCATGAACCTTCAGCTCCTTTGGGCTAATACTGTCTTCCCAGTATAAAAACGGTTTGATTCTCTAATCTGTTCTTGGCAAATCCACCACTTTGCAAAGTCCTCCAAACCGACCGCTGATGTGATTTAGGGCTAGACACAAAGACATCAAATGATTAGTTTCCTAGTCCAATATTGGTCCAAGTTTGGCAGTATTTTAAATAGTGACTTATTCATTCATTTCATTAGTGACTTATGTTCTGTTAAATTTTAAAGCCCAGAGCTTATGAGCGTTCAAAATAGTGGGAAGAATAAGGTCAGGCAAGTTTATTTGTTTAGCACAGTTCATACACGATGCGACTCACGCTGAACAAAACCAGACCAAGGCAGTAAATCAATAATCACGGCACTTAAGAGATTGAAGCTGCTATAACTTTTTATTATTTACTCAGGGAGATATAACAAGCACTTATTGGTCAAAATAAGAATACTTTTTTGAACACATTATCATTTTAATATTGATAAAATTCAAATATGGTTTTTGAACACCGACACAAACACGAGAAAACAAAACACATCTCAATCCATTTACCAACCTGTTTGTGTCACACCTGAGGGGGGTTTCAGACTCCACTCTGACCAGTGTAGGAGAAAAACATCAGCTCAGAAAGAAAAGCGTCTAATGAATCTCAGGAAGAGGATTCTGGACAGAAAGCTCCAACTCTCAGATAACGAGCAAGTAATCAGAGAAACGTCAAGTTCTTGTGAAGAGGTTCAGAAAATGAAAGTCCTGTTATTATCCCACCCACTCACATTTGAGTTTTAACCACAGTGATTCAGATTCAGTTTATTTGCCATTTGTAGTAAAAACACCACATAGGAATAGGGACGGTCGAGTGGAGCCACGTCTCGCTGAGGCAGAACACAGCGCAGTCCCGGGCCTCGCGCTGACTCTGGACCCGACACAGGAGCTCGTCCGTCTTGTTGGGCAGAGACTGGACGTTGGCCAGGTAGATGGAGGGCAAAGGGGTCCTGGAGGAGCGGCTACGAACGAGCAGACCGCCTCGCCTTCCCCGGTGTCTGCGCCTCCTTCGCCGACTCCAGGTGCCCAGCTCCACACCGCGGAGAGAACGCCGGAGACGCCCAGTCCCCTCGCTCTGTTGGCGGCCACCGCCGCGGCCCGCCTGCCGTGCTCCACCAGCCTCTCGAGTGGGACACTCGAGGAAGTGAATGCACCTCAGTTCAGGTAAAACGAGTGACCCGTCGGGACCACGCGTCAGTGGGTCATTTCCAAGAGAGAAGGGGAGGAGAAGAAGCGGGTCCGTGAACTTTCACTTCAAAAACAACAGAAAATGTAATGAACGCATCATTACATTTTCTATTTTTTATTGAAATGCAAAGTCAAAAAAAGGCTGTGCACTTTCAGGCACACGGCAATTTACAAAAATTACCATTTTGGTTTTTTTCATTGCTTATAAGACATGTATATCATAATAACCGGATTTGGGAACTAGAAAATGCAATTATGAATAATTATAATACATTTTGGGGTCAATCGATTACCCGGAAGTGAAACAAGTTTGTTTACTGAAGAAAGCCCTATTCACACAGGATTAGTATGACCTGTGGACCTCTGGTATTTAGTGATAATCCCAGAGGACGTCTGAGATCTCAGTCCAGTGCGAATGCTCCATGTCTGTAATTTGTAAAGTAATAATTCCACCGCAAATGACCTCCTGCATTTGTCCAAACACAGACGTCCTCTGATAATACTAATCCTGTGAATCTGTCAGTTATTGTGATCGCTATTGTCGCTTTCTCTTTACTTTCTGCGTTGTTTTTGTCGATGAGCAGAGGAGTCACGGATCAAGTCGCGGCTGCTGCTGTCTCTGTGAGGTCTATGGAGAAGTGTAGAGGACATTTTGAATCACTCCATGAAAGCCCATTTTTTGGCCCATTAGTTAGAACGGCAGAGATAGGCGTGACTACTATAATATTTACAGTCTATGAGTCAGACACCAGTATCTATGGACTGTGTGAAGCAGAGACCTGCGCACGTGCGGCCTTTATGTCATGTCAGAGAAAATTACAGACATTGCTTATCCCGTGTGAATGCACTGATCTCAGATGTCCTCCGCAATTATCACAATTTACCAGGGCTCCACCATGGATCTATTATAATAACGGGATCCACAGGTCATTCTAATCCCGTGTGAATAGGGCTCAGTCTGGGCACAGTAAACAAACTTGTTTAACGTCCGGGTAATCGATTGACGCCGAATTGTATTAAATACAAAATAAAAACGGTTCATAATTGCATTTTCTAGTTCCCAAATACGGTTATTATAATATATATATATATGTCTTATAAGCAATAAAACAAATCAAAATGGCCATTTTTGTATATTGTCGTGTGCCTGAAAGTGCACAATAGCCTTTTTTTGACTTTCTATTTCCCTTCAAAAATAGAAAATGTATTTAACGCAAAAGTACACGAGGATTCGGGTTCAGAAAGTCCTTTCCAACCTCCTGAAT